AAGTTTCATGGAAATATAACAGCCCGGCACCGAGCCCCTCATGCCTCAGTGGGCACCAGACTTCAGAAACGTCCCCAAAGACTAGATCTTGGTCTGTTAACTCCCTGAGGCAAAGCCAGGGTTCATCAGAAGTCAGTGGAGAGTCTGATTTAGTTCAGTTACAGCTGATAATTAGTGCCGGTGATGTTTGTCATTTAGGGTTTTCCATTATCGACCAGGTCAAACAATGCAGCGCTGATTTGCTTTGAGGGTGTTTTTTTGTGTGTTTGGGCGACTATAGAAACATGGTGGCATCCATCCTCTGTAGATAAAAAGGACTCACTCTAAGAATAAAAATAGTATTAGTAGTAGTAGTAATTGTTACTTTCAGCTAATTATACACTTATGAAAACATAGTTATGAGTATTATATTCTATTTCTGACACACTGGACCTTTTTAATTTGGCAAAAATATCATCCTGTGACTAAAAGTAAGGAGCACGAATGTTAAGCATGTTGCTAACTACAAGAAAAACAAAAGATTTGTTGGCCTCAGATTTCGCAGATCCTTTTATTATCAACCTGCAACCTGCTCCAAACACTAACTGTCCTCCTACATTACCACACAACAAAGACTGCGGTCGTGTTTATTCCAGTAAACAACAGCAAGGTAATGCTGCGTGTAAAAGGTATGGACTAAACTGTCAGCTGTAAGAGAGATATATGAGAGCAACAATCAGTAACTGCTCCCTTCAGCAGATGAAGGCCTTCAAACAGCAGCCAGCGGCGTCCTGGTGGCCAGGTTAAGACTCTGTTTGATTCTGTCTGGAGACATTTCTTCCCTGTCACATCCTCCTTCATTCCTCATCAGAAACTGGTTATCAGATGGCGTTAGGAGGAACATAAAGTTATTAAAGTTAATGTTGGCACTGCCACAGGATAGATGTAAAAGTGCTGCATTGCACTGTAGCCGTAGCCAAAATCTGTTTACCTGAAAGTTAATCACTCTGAGCATTTATGTTGTTGCTGTTGTCGCTGCTC